TCTTTAGCAAACGCTGCCTGCCCTCACTAACCCAATGGTTCGTAGGGCCTGGTACAGTGCCCCGCGCCTAGTAGGTCCCGAAATATCTGCTGAATAAAGGAGACTACAACCCTGAGCAGGCCTGGTCTGCGTTTGCCATTTCCTGGCTCCCTTACATGAATGTCAGCCTCTCCCATTTCCAGAAGACTATTGGCAACTCCTCCAGTCGTTGGTCTTTTCCTGGAAAAATAACTTTGTGATTCTTAAAGGAAGGAAAATGTTTCCCTTGCTGATAACTGAGTAACTTGGAGCCTGGAGAGCACTTTTAAAGCCAGAGTTAGTAATGTTGTGCCGTACAGCTTTCCTTTTGAAGAAAAACAGAAAATTAATTTCTACAAAAGGTTGTATCTTGGTAGGGATGATAGCTCCCAGAGTCAGAGACAATGTTATCCTTTTCTACTTTTTAACTTGTACCACTCTTAGATACTCTTTCTTTCCCATTTCTTCTTGGGCTTCAGACAAGCGCTTCTCTGGGAAGGAACCCATACATCCTCCAGGGAAACTCCTAACAGCACTGCAGCTGCTGGTCTGGTTCTCCCCAAGGCTTCTAGCTGCTCCAGTTCTGTGTGCCCCTAGGACACCTTCCCTGCTCTGGACCTTGCTGTCACTTTTGGTCCCTGCCAGCACTGCTGCCTTCTCAACTTTTCATTATCTCTGTCTGCTTTATTCCTCTCAGGCTACTGGGTCTTTCCTACACACCCAAAGCAAATTAGGATTTTCCAACTCTACATTATGAATCAGAGAATCACTGGATATTGGGTGTGACCAGGAAATCAACAGATATTTATTGAGCCTCTTTTATGTACCAGATCTGAGCCCTTCCTTGGGGGCACCTGACAATTTGATGGGTAAGATTGTGTCCTATGATTAGTGTCTATTGCATTTGGTCAAAAAGGTGTGATTGTACTTGATTCCTGCTGACTCTGGAACACTCTGGAAAGATGGGCTTCATTCCAGGAAGTCAAGTTAATTGCAGTAGTATTTCAAAGTGTAATGACGGCTGAGTGTTCTCCTGAATGACTGAATGACTGTAAGATAGAAGTAAAGTACTATCTCTGTCGGTCCCCTGGACCCCTTAATTGGAAAATCTGATATGGGACTGATGTCGTCATCCACAACTATTTTACAAAAGGCAATATGTCATGATTTTGAACGATTCACATTAGTGTCTGTTTGAAGCCGTTAATATAATTGCAAAAAATCAAGTTAATGTTTGTGATGCAGTTGAAGGAAGTCACTAGATTTCTGTAGTGTAAAACATTACAAAGGGTTCCCATCATAGAGTGGTTACAAGATTCAAATTCAACCAGGTATGTGAATGCCTTGTACAAATTATAAAGCAGTATTTAAATTGTATAATCTGTGACTCTGGGAAAATGTGGTGGCATTAGGGATGAAAATGAATATGTAATCACACCTAAGTACCAGGCAGGCAAAGAGAGAGAGACAGAGACAGAGAGGGAGGGAGGTAGGAGAGAGAAAGATCATATTAACTTAAAGCTTTAAAAACCGTGTAAGAGATATTGTTCCCATTTCATAGATGAGGAAACCGAGAATTCAAGACGCTAGATAGCCTGCCCAAGCAGATACAGGTTGTGAGTGCTATGTCTGGGATCTCCAACTAGGTGTTAGATCTCTATTCTAAAACACCTACTCATTCCCTTTCTCTAAAAGTACTTGCCTTGGGAGGAAAGAAAATTATAGTGATGTTATAATGTTAAATAGATCCCCTGCTTCAGACTTCAAAAGCATCAGAAAACTGAAAAGTCTACATGTCTGTATTCTTTTTTCCTAGATGGTAGAATTACTGTGGGATTACTTTTTCTTTTAATTGCAGGACTGTCGTTCCCTGACTCACCCCGCTGTTTCTGCTGTGTACATTTCTGTTTTGCAGAATCCTTTAACTTTGGAGACAGTGAAACAATTAACTGCAGCAGGTAGGAAAGAGGAATTACAGAAATGTTTCGGGGCCCGAATGGAATTCGGGACGGCTGGCCTTCGAGCACCTATGGGCGCAGGGATTTCGTGTATGAATGACTTGACCATCATCCAGACTACACAGGTACCGTGTTTTTATACTTCTCAGTTGCTTAAAATCCATACCCTGGCTCCTTTTGTATTGACAGACTTAACTTGTAATTATGGCTGTGTCTTTGCAGTTGGGAAGCTGCAAGGAGTCATCATCATTTACTCCAGAAAGTGAGGCTTGTGAAGTTGGTTGAGGCAGTTTTGTTTCAAAATTCATGATCAGCTAGTCTTCCAGCCACTCAGCATTTAAAAGATTTATTGAGCACCTACCATGTGGTACGCATTGCAGATATATTACTAATGACTAAAACAGTTCCCTCATAGATATTTTGTCCCAGACAAGCCCATCAATTGAGCTGAATTATGCAGTCTTATCATTCTTGTCATGGTTAGACGCTAGTGTTAAAAAGACATCACCAGCATCACCAATCCTGGGAAAGGCAAAGCTAGAAAATTTGCCTAACGATGACTACATGTGCATGACTGTCTTTGGGAGATCTAGTTGGTCACAGCTGTTACTCGGCGTAACCATCAGGAGTTTTAAGAAACTGCAGATTAATGTAGGGCCTATGTCCAGTATTTATCTATATCTACTTTCCAAAAATGAACAAGTGCATCCTCAGGAAGATCTTGCCAATTATATTACCCACCCACCAACACTCTGGAAGAACTGGTCTCTTCTGGCAGTGGGCCCTATGGTAGTTAAGAATCCTATAAAACCAAGAGGAATTGATACATCAGAGGTCATCTCATGCAGCCAGCCATCCCTTGGGGAAATTAATCTCTGCTGTATCCCCTGTGCAGATGGTCACATGGCCTCTAGGATACTTACTATGGGAAACGGATGATAAGGGTGAAGAAGGTTTTACAAGAGCAGCAGGTGCTTCTGTACCAGCTCAGCAGTAATTCCAGCATAGGAGGATTCCCAGAAGAGGCTCCCCAAGTGCAGGCCTCTACCCATCTTTGGGGAGCGCTCCCTGGGAAATGCTGATGTGCGACTATGCGGTCACTCATCTCGTCCACTTCAAACCCTGGTGTCAGTGCCCATCCTGCTGGTTTTGGGGTGTTGTTTGTCTGCTCTGGTTCAAGAAGCAGGTGTGTGTGAGTCAAGAACATCTTAATGAAATGGGGCAGAGTGGAGGAAAACTTGGGTATCATTCGCCTCATTGATAGAGGTTATTCAGGTACTTTCCTTCTGACAGTTCATGCCTATTTCATGCTCCATTTGAAACTCATACACTTCGGTTACTTAATCCAGACATCACTCCTCAGTGATGCAGAGCTGGCCATCCCACATTCTCGATACATGATGTTTCATTATTTTGATCTAAAATCTGTGTTTCCGTAGCTTTTACATGTGGATCTTTGTTCTGTTTTTTGAAGCCATACAAACAGGTTTGCTTCTTGTGTTTTGTAATAATGTTTTGATTTCAAAAACCTTCCTCACCCCATGAATCGTTTTTTCTAGAGTAAGCATTTCCTTTCCCTTGGCCATCCCCTGGTCCCCAAAGTCAGCGGGCCCTGGAGCTTTTCAGAGAACAGGAAGCTGCGCAGATCTGGACTAAAGCTACAGGCTTCTTGCCCTCTGCAACTCTGAGGCCCAGCGCAGGGGTAGACAGGGAAAGCGAGGGGTGCTGGCGCTGAGGTGAGCCATAGAGAACCAGGCATCCGGGTG